GGGCTCAAACATACGCCAGGCGTGTGTGCGTGCGTGCCCAAGATCCTGAGAGAATGGAGGAGAAGGGATTGTGACGTGGGTATGCCCCTTGGGGGATGATTTCTTGCTTCCTGTCTCTATGTCTCTCTCTGTCTTTCTGATGAACACATGCGCCCTCTATAGCAAAAATCTCTACAAAAAAAAAAAAAATTAAGACATAGCAAGTGTTTAGAATGGATCCTGGCATGTGGTGGTGAGCGCTCCACAGATGTGAGCTGCCATCACCCCAGCACTGGTGCAGACCTGCATCTGTGGTGATGGCAGCAGGAGTATATGATACTACTACCGATGATGATGATGGGCTGGCCCATAGCCTGGTGCGTAAGAGAACTGGATCCCACATGGTTGACCGTGCAGTCTGAGTCTCAGCCCTGGCGGTTTGGGAAGCATGCCAGTTGTGAGTGCATATAGTTCCAAATTCCCACAGGATGGAGAAGAGGAGAAGGGATTGCGACCTGACCACACCCCACAGGGGTTGGGGGGCTTTGTCTTTCTCCTTCCCTCTGTCTCGCATGGTGAGCACACATGCTCTCTGGCACAATAATGATAGTGGTGGGGACGATGACAGCAGCTAGGCCCACTAAGGACGTATCATCCATGGCAGGCCCTTGCTCCTCAGGTCATCCCGTTGTGCTGTGGAGTCCCCGTCTCACAGCGGGGAACTGACCTGCTCTAGACCATGCAGCTTGTTAAGTGTTGACACCAGGGTTCAAACCCAAGTTCAGTTCGGCTTCAGAGAGGACGTATCTGCTCACTCAGGTATTGATGGGGAACAGTAAGATGTCATTTCATGCCCACTGGGATGGCGCTAAGCCAAAACATAATAGCAAGTATTGGCAAGGAAGCAGAGAAGCAGGGGCCGTCGATCACCCCAGCGATCCCGCGAAGTACTGCGCCACGTTGGGAAGCAGTTTGGCATTAAACAAACAAACAAACAAATTAAATGTCAATTTACCAGGCAAGCCAGCAGTTCCACCGTGGGTATTTACTTAAGAGACATGAAAACGTGTGTCTGCACGAAGACTTACTCGTCAACGTTCATAGCAGCGTTAATCACAGCAGCTAGAAAGTGGAAACCACCTGCTGATCCGTCAGCAGGGGGACGGATAAACAAACGCGGAGCATCCGCACAGTGGGATTCTACATGGCAATGAAAAGAGCCGGAGTATGCATTCGCCCTACAACATGGCCGTACCCCAAAACATGAGGCTAAGTGAAACAAGGCAAGCATCCAAGGCCATGTAGTCTCTGATTCCCTTTTTTTTTTTAATTAAAAATTAAAATAGAGGTTTTTGCTATATGGCACGTGCACTTGCCAGATAGACAGAGAGAGACAGAGAGACAGAAAGCAGAAAATCACCCTCCAGGGGGGATGGCCACGCCGCAATCCCCTCTCCAACATTCTCCTCTCGGGATCTTGGGCACGCACGCACACACGCCCAGCGTGAGTGTAAGCCACTGGGTCCGGGACTCGAACCGCGGTCGACTACGTGGGAGTCCAGCGACATAGCCATTACACTAACTGCTGGTCCCTATAATTCCTTTTTTTACAAAATGGTCCGAAAAGGCAGATCTAAAGAGCTGGAAAGTATTAAGTCTTCGGGAAAGTTGTGACATGTTTTCCTATGTGAAAATGCATCATAACTTTCCCCAAGACCCAACAGATGAGCAGTTGTCTGGGCGCTGGAGGTGGGTATAGAAATAAGCTATGAGCGAGCATGAGGGGTCTCACAGGAGTGGTGCAAGTGTTTTAAAACTAGCTTATGGTGATGGGAGCACACCTCAGTAAGCTTACCGAGAACCACTGAACTGTGGACTTAATGGGTGCAAATTTTACGATATGTAAATATCTCTTACAGCAGTGAGCAAAACAGTATTTGCTGTCATGGTGCTTACACTGGTGATGGGGGAGGCGCTGGGACTGGGGGCAGGGGAGAATCACAAGGACATTTTTTTTTCTTTTTTTAAGAATTATTTTATTTTTATTCATTGTCATCATTTTGTTATTTTATTTTTTCGAGGTTGACCAGAGAGAGAAGGAAAGTGAGAAAGCAAGCTGCCAGCTCTAAGACTTGAACCACGGTCAGCCATGTGGGAGTCCAGTTGCCTTAACCAACCCCATCACCTGCCGGTCCCTTTCTTTCTTTTCTTTTAAAGATGATTTGTTTAATCTTATTTATTTATTATTATTATTATTTGACCAGAGAGAAACAGAGAGCGAGGAAGAAGGAAAGTGAGAAAGCAAGCCACTAGGTCTAGGACTTGAACCATGGTTGGCCATGTGGGAGTTTAGCGCCTTAACCACCACCACCACGCCACCTGCCGGCCCCAGTACATGAGTTTTAAAGAGGGAAGGATAACACTGAGGGAGAAAACACTGCAAAGGGAAAAGAAAGAGGGAGAAAAGAAAGAGAGACCCCAACTTGACCTGCTGGGGGAAGTGGTAAGAGGCTTAGGGCACAAAGGTGTAAGGGGAGGCTGGAGCGGGTCATGCAGGGCCTTACGAGCCCCAGAAGGGAACTGGATTTCTCTTCCTGCATGGAAGGAGGCAGAGTAACTGGGAGAAGTGGCCCAGTACCAGCGGGGGCTCTGGAGCAGTGGGAACAGTAGACGCTGGCACTGTGGGGTGGGGTGTGGAGGCTCTTCGTCCTGAAAGCCCAAGCTGGTGTCCCCATGCCCGGGGACCAAGCTTGTTTCTGGCTTCCACAGAAGGTTACTTCTTCGCCTGTTTCTATATTTGTAAAAGAAGGGTAGTAGGACTTTCCTTGGAATGCTATCAGGAACATCCGTCCATTCCACAAATATTTACTACTTACTACACAGGATCTTCAAAAAGTGCATGCAAAACGCAGATTATGAGAAAACTATGCATGGATTTCAAAGTCCTTTTGCACCAGGGAACCAGCAGTTAGCGTAATGGCTATGTCGCTGGACTCCCACGTAGTCGACTGCGGTTCGCTTCCAGGACCCGGTGGCTTAAAAATCACCCCCTGGGGGGTGATTTCTCGCTTTCTATCTCTCTGTCTCTGTCTGTCTGGCGAGTGTACGCGCCCTATAGCGAAAAACCTCTTAAAAAAAAAAAAAAAAGGTTTTCTTTGCACCAGAATAAACTTGTAACATTAATTACATGTTTCTGTGAACTTTTGGAAATCCCCTTGCATGTGTCATCATTGGGCATAAAAAAAAAAAAAAAAAAAAAAAAAAAAGTTCTTGCCCTTGTAGACCTTCAGGATGAAAAGAAATGATCTGTGTAAATGAGTCCGTGCACACCGGCCTCGTAGCTCTCCTTCAGCTCCTGTATGTCCATGGCGTGGTGGTCATGGGAGGAGCAAGCCTGAGTTCTGCACCTCGTAGCATCAGAGCAGATGCCTGGGTGTCTGTCCTTCATGGCCTCTTCCACCTGCCCTCTCGTGGGTTCAGGGTGCCACCCTTCACCTTTGCAAATGAACTACAAATACAGGCATGAATTTCGACATCCCAAGTTTTCCAAATGCCCCTCAACCATTGGGGATCCTGTTTGGAAGGATCACATCCTGCCTCCCCATGTTCCTTGCTAAAAGACCTCAGCTAAACCCTGCAAAATTGAGATGATACTAAAAGGGGGCTTCAGAAAGTTCTTGGGAAAATAGATTTAAAGTATGTGTTTATTTTGGTGCAGTTTTGACATCCCTGAATAGTGTTTCCATGCTACACATTTTCCAAGAACTTTTTTTAAAGAATTATTTTACTTAACTTTATTTATTTTTATTTATTTAAATTTGACCAGAGAGGAACTGAATAAGGAGAGAGAGAGAGAGAGAGAGAGAAGTGAGAAAGCAAGCTGTCAGGTCCAGGACTTGAACTGCAGTCGGCCATGTGGGAGTCCAGCGCCCTTAACCACCGTACCACTTACCAGCACCTCCAAGAACTTTTTGAAGACTCCTGGTAAACCTGGAGTCTTTAGTCCTGCTAGGACTGTAACTACCTCAAGCAGAGCCTTTGTGTAAAGTAGGAAAAGGCACCCGATCCCAAGGAACACTGCCCTGCACCAAGAATTGCTGCTTGAGGAGCCGGTTGTGTTTTGCTCAGATTAAAGTGAGAGGCTCCTTCCTGCCCTTCAGGCTTGCTTGGTGAGCAAAGTACAGGCTAGAATTTAGCGTTTGCCCCTCTGCCTGGCGTCCTTGTGCAGTGAACAACGTGTCCCTCTAAAATCAAAGGCTGCGTGGGGATGAAATGGGACCACGCTCACCGCTAAGCGCTCTGCCCGGTGCCTGTCACAAATCGGAAACTATATGAGATCAGATCCTTTGTAACTCCCACTGATGTTACTTGTGGGTACTTTTCCTCCTGCTGCCGAAGCATCGTCGCCTACCAACTTCCCGTTCACAGTTCTCATGCTGCCCCCTTGTGAGTTCAAAGTGGTATGACAGCGTCATTTTCTTGCCTACTGCCTGCTCTTAGCCATTAATTAATTAATTTTTAAATTTTGTCGTAGGGATCAGATCCTTTGTAACTCCCACTGATGTTACTTGTGGGTACTTTTCCTCCTGCTGCCGAAGCATCGTCGCCTACCAACTTCCCGTTCACAGTTCTCATGCTGCCCCCTTGTGAGTTCAAAGTGGTATGACAGCGTCATTTTCTTGCCTACTGCCTGCTCTTAGCCATTAATTAATTAATTTTTAAATTTTGTCGTAGGGCATATGTGCTCGCGGGGGGGGGGTAGGAGCGTGGGGAGGGCATGGGAGGAAGCACCCACAATGGAGCATGGTCACGCTGGGATCCCTTCTCTATTTCTCCATCCTCTCGGGATCTGGGGTGCTCGCACACCACATACCCAGTGTGTGTTGCAAGCCACCAGGTTTGGTATTCGAACCTGACAGATGGCCAAGTGGGATCTGGCTCCCTTAACCAGTGCGCCAAGGAGCTGGCCCCACTGCCTCCTCTCCAATTCATACATTAAAATATTCCCTGGAAATGGTTTCTGAGCAGCATCTCCTGAAGTGTGTGAGTGGCAGTCTTCTAGACCAGAAGCCATCTTCCCTTCTCCTTCCCTGAGGATAAACTGGGCCCACCGTCCCGAGTCTTCTAGACCAGAAGCCATCTTCCCTTCTTCCCTGAGGATAAGCTGGGCCCACAGTCCCCGGTGGACACAGCCCCCTCCCGAGGAGGGGGAGACAACACAGCTTACCTTCCCCTGCGACCTCACTCCTGGCTCCAATCTTCTCTCCCCACTAGGGCGCCGGCCTCGCCAGGCACAGCGCCTCCTTCCAGCGAGGCTGCCATGTAGTCCCTTCGGAACAGCCCCCACCGGGGCCCTGGAACAGCCGCCAGGCTCCCCTCTTCCATGTTGCTTTCCCGGACCAGCGAGCAGCGGCTGCTACTTCTGGGATGTCCCCGCGTGTGTTCTTGCCACACACGTCCCCCAGCCAAGCCCTCTTCCCAAGTAGCCGGTCACCAAGGGGTTGAGCACCACACTGCAGGCTCCCATGATGAGCCCCAGCCTCCGCCACTGGTGTCCCATGTCGGGGTGCAGAAAGCCGGCCACGTTGGAGGCGTTGTAGGGTCCCAAGCAGAGCAGCAGCGTGAGCAGGGCCCCGCCGGCCCCCCAGGCAGCCCTCAGCTTCCGGCGGTGGCTCAGGCCTGAGTGGGCCAGCGCCCGCAGGCAGCCGGCGTAGCAGAAGGCCGTGATGGTCAAGGGCAGAAAGAAGAACAGGACGGAGAGGCTGAGGCGGGCAGGGCCGGCCGAGTGTGGGTCCCAGGCCTCCAGGCAGATGGGAGAGCCGTTGACCCAGGTGACCATGCCCAGGGAGCTGGCGGTGGTGTTGTCCAGCCAGCTCCCGGGAGCCTCCAACCCAAACACCAGCCCCAGGTGACAGAGGACGAGGGCCCATATGGCCACACACACGCCCCAGGAGTAGCATGGCCTCCGGATGGCCTGGTAGCCCAGGGGGAAGGCGGCCCCCAGGTAGCGGCCGGCGCTCAGGGCAGCCAGGAACGCCCCGTCTGCGTAGAGCGGAGCGAAGTGGGCCACGGCGAAGGCCGGGCAGAGCGAGGTGGGCAGGGGCCAGGCTCCCGAGGCCAGAGCCTCCACCGCCTTCAAGGGCAGAGAAATGCTCAGCAGGAGGTCGGAGCAGCCCAGGTGCAGGGCGTAGACCAGGCTGGGAGTGAGGCGCCGCCGGGCCAGCGAGGCCGCGCCGCGGATGGCCAGGGCGTTGAGTGGGAAGCCCACGGCGAAGGCGGCCACGTACAGGGCGAAGGAGAGCTGCGGAGGCAGGTCCATGGGGCCGCCGCGCTGCCTCCGCAGCTCCCAGCGCAGCTCCTGTCCTCACACTTCCAGGAACCACAGGCTGCTTTCCGCCCTATTGGAGGCCCCCCTGGAGGAGGTGGCTTCGCGTGGTCGTACAGCCTGGGTCGGAAGCCACGACTTCTAGCCCTCGGGCCTTTGGTTTCTGCAAACCATATCACCTCTTACAAGGAAGTGAGCAATCTCGGTGTCGCAGAGGATAGAACCGAGGTGTGCAGGTCCCCGGAGAGGGTGATCTCAGTGTCTGAACCCTGGGGAGAGGAGGGGGAGAGGGAATTCAGAACAGGGCAGGGCCAGCAGTGTGTTTGCCTTGGGAACAGGAGTTCGACTCCTGAGTCCACTCCCCCAGTTCCCTGGTCAGGGAAGGAGCCCAGCAGGGGGCAGGGGCAGGTGCTGACTCCTAGCTGACCGAAGAGATGGAATTTGGATTCGATGGAGATTGAGGGGCCACCAAAGGGGGTCCCCAGAGGTGAGCCCAAGGTCAAGCCAGGGATATCCGAGTCCCAGAGGGTGACCTTAGAAGGCTTCCAGAGCACCCCGGGCAGGGAGAGCTGGGGGCCTGTGGAGTAACTGTTGGTGAAAAGAGGAGCCACAGAAAGAGGGACTCACCTCTTGGTGCCGCCGGATGTCTCTGAGGCTCTGAAGTCCCCCTGACTAGGCTGAGGGAGGATGCCCAGGATGGGCAGCGAGCCGGAAGGGAGAGAGGGCGGGGTGGCAGGGCCATTAGCCTGTGGCACTAACAGCTTGGGTGAGCAGCTAATGGGGCATCCCCAGCTGGGACTGAGGCCAGACTGCAGGCTGTGGGGGTCTCAGAGGTTGATGGGAACCCCAGAGAGGGCAAGGGTAGGAGTCTGGGGTCTTTTCTAGGTCAAGGAGTATAATAGGAGACTTCAAAATGAAATTTTAGTTTGGTGCCCCAAAAAATAAAAATAAAAATAAAATGAAATCCACACATAATTTTTTCATAATATGCATTTTCTGTGAATTTTTGGAAGATGTCACAAATAGTCAGTACCTTGAAGGGCCAGAGTTCCTGGGTATCACCAGGCACCCTCCCCCCCACCTCACCCACTGCCTGTTCAGACCTGCTCTGGGGGTTGAGCCTTCCCTCTCCCTGAAGAGCTCAGGGGCAGTTCCCACGCCTCGCTGGCTCTTTCCTAGATAACGGCAAGCACTCTAGTGACTCTGGTGGGGTCCCCAGACCACCTCCGTGGGGTAATGACATGTGAGATGGTGAGTCGTCACTCTCAGGCACAGCTCTGCCCTCCCCTGAGTGCACTGGTGGTGAGCGTGTTTTTGTGAGGAGGGGACACCGCTATTCTCTCCCTTCCCCTCTCGCTCAGGGCCCGTGCTTTCTGACCTTTGCAGAGCTGGCAATAAAGGTAAGCGGAAGGGCAAGGAATGCCCTGCCTCTAGGCCTCATGGCTGCCCGCCAGGGTGCTGAGCAGGGACGAGGGTGCCACTTGCCTTGGCACAGGTACCCCATGCCTCTAGCTGGCTGCTGACTTCCTTCTCCCAGCCCTGGAGTCTGGCCAGCCACCGACCTCCCGAGTGGGGTCACCTTGCCCTTCCAGGAACACCTAAGCAGGATTTTAAATTATTCCAGACTAGTGCTCTCCCAGAGGTGGCCCACATCTGGTCACTGAGAAAGAAAGCTTCGGGACCAGCATGTGGCATGGAGATTAAGGTGGCTGGACCCCACATGACTGACTCCACAGTTCGAGTCCTTGATCTGTTGGCTTGAAAAACACACCAGGTGGTATAGCGTAATGGCTATGTCGCTGAACTCCCATGTAGCCAACTGCAGTTTAAGTCCCGGACCCAGTGGCTTAAACTCACGCCAGGCACGTGTGCATGTGTGCCCAAGATCCCGAGAGGAGAATGGAGGACAAGGGATTGCGGTGTGGCCATCCCCTCTGGGGGGTGATTTCTCTCTTTCTGTCTCTCTGTCTCTTTGTCTTTCTGGTGAGCGCATGCGCCCTATAACAAAAACCTCTCCAAAAATAAATAAATTAATTAAAAAACCACCGGGCATGTGTGTGCGTGTTTGCAAGATGCCAAGAAAAGAGAGGAGAAGGAATTGTGGCATGGCCATCACCCAGGGGTGGGGGGGCGGGGCGGATTTCTTTCCCTCACTCTGTCTCTGTCTGGTGAGCACATGCATTCTTAGCAAAAACTTAAAAAAGAAAATGCTCTCTATGGGGTCTCTGTCTCTGACTGTGCCTGTCTGTCTGTCTCTACTGCCTCATGCTGATAAGGCAGCCTCTCAACTTCAGTGTTCTTGGGCTCGCCAGGCCACTGTGGCCCTTCTGAATTCCAGGTCATCCATAATCAGCTTCTCCACGCAGTCCCCTGAAACTCCTCTCACCGGGCATCAGATGGCGGCAGCATGGAATTCCCAGTGTGTCCACAACTCCCTCCAGAGAGGATCTTTCTGTACCTAGAGTCACCAGATTGCTGCTTCTGCATCTCCTTACCAAGTCCTACAGCTGTGGTCTAGCGTCCATTTTCTTTTATTTAAATAATTTTTTTAGATAGTTATTTTATTTAACTTTATTTATTTATTTTAGTTTGATCAGAGAAGGACAGAGAGAGAGAGAGAGAAAATGAGAAAGCAAGCTGCCAGGTCCAGGACTCGAACCTCCATAGACCATGTGGGAGTCCAGCACCCTTAACCACCATGCCACCTGCCGGCCCAAGTGCCCATTTTCAATAGAAGAGCGTGCAACCTCTCGTTCAGTATTTTTGTCTTCGGGAAACACTGAGAAATTGACAGAATGAGAAAAGAATCAAAGGATTTGCCATTTCTTTCCTGTCGCCAGCTTTTGGGTGAAGAGCAAAGCTCTAGGGAGACATGGGGTCTTCAAATCTTCTCTGCCGTGGCCCCACCCCCTAGCAGTTCTGCCCGGGTCACCTCCTTGGAGGGCCTTCCTTCACGGCTCCATCCAGGCTGGCCCCTCTCCTCTCTGTATTCATCTTGCGTTGTGTTTAGTCAGTGCACCCAAGACACTGCGACGTCCTTGCTAGCTCCGTGCTAGAGTGACGGTCGTCTGAGGGCAGAGATCTCAGCCTGCTTCGCCCATGGCATGTTGCATGGTTGTCTCTCAGGCAGCCGAATAAATAGTCCATTATCTGGGCCTTGGGAGGGTGGTGAGATCTGGGCCAGGCAGAGGCTGCCCGTGTTTGGGAGTCCCTGGCCTCCGAGCTTCCTGGCCACCTGCTCTTCACGCCTCAGCAGTGCCTGCTGACTGCCACATCTCGTGGTCAATTGGTCATGAAGTAGGTTTATATCAGCAGCTGGGCTTGGGGACAGGACAGGAGGGCACCCAGTGGTTGCCAGGGAACCTGAGCCAGGCCTCATCAGACTCGGGGCTGCCTTTAGCACTCACAAGAGGACCTGCCCTAAAAGCTAGACTAGAGATCTACGAGATTGTTCTATGTCTTGTCTTTGGACTGCAGCCATGGCTCTGTGCTGGGCGCATTCACAGGTACTCAGAACTCGTTTGCCGAATGAATGAATGGGTGAATGACACTGAAACTTATTTTGGGTAGAGAAACATCAAAACCCTCTCACAAAAAGTCAAAGGGGATGGAACTGGATTGATTGGAAAATCGATGCCTCACTCTGCTGTCATTCTAAGAATCGCCATGCTGGTATTGAGCAGAAACAGAAAAGGAGGGCAGGACAGGAAGGTGTCGTTTTGGGAACATCCCCCATATATCAGGAATTGTCTGTTCATCACATGTGATTGGTTAACCATATGTTCCTGCCCTCCAAGCATGAGCCTTAGTCCCTTGGCCGAGCAGGTGAATGGGAGGGGAGAGGCCAAACCTGAGACGTGACGGGGGTATTGGACACACCTAGCTGGGAAGTCTGAACCAGTGAACATAACTGAGAACTTGGGGGTGGGGGGTAGCAGTCCACAGGGAGTGACAGAAAAGCTGTGAGGTTTCTCAAGGCAACTGGCCTTCGAGAAGTGCTTGAGCAGCCGTGGATTGTGAAAGAACTTGGTAGGTTCTCTTTTGGGAATAACTGTGAGTAATGAATCAGCTTCCCCTTTTTATGTTCTCCAAAAATGCAAATAAAATGAAAATTTTACTTAGTCTCTAAAAAATGCAAATAAAAGATGAGAATTTTTTTTAATCCTCAGGAGGTGTGTATGCTTGTCAAACAGAGAGTGAGTGAGAGAAGGCATCCTCTCCCTCCCACCCAATGGTCACACCACTATCCTTTTTTCTTCCATTCTTCCTTCTCATCAAGATTTCGAGCACACACACACACAAGCACCTGGTGTGTTTTTCAAGCTGCTTGGGCCAGGATTTGAGCCACAGTCGACCAAGTGGGATCTGGCTCCCTTAACCACTGCACTGTGAGGGCCAACCTGGGGAATGTGTTGTTTTAGGGTCTTTTGGCTTCTGTGATTCCAGCATATACAAATTAAACCTCACTCCTACCTTGAACCACCTGCATGGCAGGTAGTCGTATCTCCATTTTACAGATGAAGAAACTGAGGCTCAGGCTGGTGGTAAATGCTGCCCGAGATCTCTCCGCTACTGTCTTAGTCTGTTCATTCTGCCATGACAGAAAGACCTGGGACTGGACGATTTATAAAGAAGAGAGATTTATTTGGCTCACGATTCTGGTGGTTGGAACCGTCAAAGGCATGAGGCCAGCATCTGACCAGCCTGTGGTGCACATGGCCAAGCGAAGTGGAAAAGAAGGCAGGCAGGTGCCAAGAGACAGACCCTAGGGCAGCCCACTTGCTGTTACCACAGCCTGCTCTTATGAGAACTAATGAATGAGAACTGGCTCCTTCCCAGCAGCCTACATTACTTATTCATGAGGGATCCGCCCCCATGTCCCTCACACCTCTCACTAGGCCCCCTCCTCCAACGCTGCCCACAGCAGAAGTGTGGCCACGGGGGAGGGCACCACACCCCAACCATAGCAGCTAGTTATATACAAAAATCAGGACTGAAACTCATGCCTGCCTGCCTGCGAATGCGCTTTTCCAATCTTCCGCCAGGCTCCTTTTCCTTCTTTTCCAGTCCCACCATGCCTGCCGCATCTCCCTGTGCCCGCTCTGCCTTCACAGACTGGTTCTCTGAAGCGGTACTGAGCTATGTGTATCGTGCAACTCTATTCCACTGTCCACACCAATACGTCTCAGTCCATAAGACCCCTGTGGGTAGGGGCTGCTGCAGCAGAATCTCCGTGGAATGCCTCGTTATGCATAGACAGGTTTCTGGAGGAGAGGCTGGCTGGGGACAGTGCCTCCTGCTGCTAATTTCTGTCCTTCCCTGACCTTCTCCCAGAGGCAGAAGGTGGGCACGACTAGTGAGCAGGGATGTCAGTCGGGTCAAAGGGATGGGAACAGAAGAAGAAATAGGGACGAGCCAGTCCCAGCAGGGACACAGCCAGCTTGGGGTAGGGGCTGGGGAAGGGGCGGATGGTGGCAGATGGCTGGAGTGGTGGGGGGGTGAAGAGGGTACAGGGCTCCAGGCAGGTGTTTAGGTGAGTTTCTGGGTAGGATAAGAAGAGTGGGAAAAGACCCAGGGCAGGCCTTTGGGAGGGGCTGAGCTACCTGTTCCGAGAAAGAAGGCGGGCTCTGATCCAGGCACGAGGTTCTCTGCAGTGACCATGCGTGCACATACGTGTGCACATATACGTGTGTGTGTGTGTGGAGGGAGGGGCTGGGGGACTTAGCAGCTGAGCAGCAGTGGCTGGGGAAGCTCTGGGGCTGCCCTTGTCCCCGTCCCCTGGGCACCTCCACCACATGGATTCAGCAGGTCAGTGCTTAAGGGTCACATACTCCACACTTTCCTGGGTCCGAGGCCGCTCTCCAACCCCAAACTGGACTAGCTCTGAGTAATGGATTTCCTCGTCTTCTGGAAAATTCGGAGTCACGTTCTCATAGTCAACCTGAGAAAGCCACATGGTGGTCAGCTTGGCCTCGCTGTCAGGTCCCCAGCCTCCCCCACCTGCTTTCCCAGCCCATGTCCTTGATTCCTCGTGGGGGTCCAAGAGCCCATGCAGGAGTCCTCTAGTCCAGAAACTGGCCACAGTTAGTGGGAGGACCTGCCCTGGCTCTGACCACACCTGCCCAGGTGCTCCCCGCTCCCCGTAGAGGACTCAGAGCTGAGGCCAGGCCCTCCATCTCCTCCCACCCCCCGCCCCCCACAACCCTGCAGTCTCACCACTCGAGGCTTCTGCAACACTGAGTAAGTGACCGTGTCATTCCTGTTTGCGGGAGGCCCCTGCCTCTCTGAGATTCCTGCATCCCTGAAGGAGGGCAGAAAGATGACCACAAATGGAGCCTTTCCCACGAGCTCTCCTCCCTACTTCCCTGTCCCCAGCAGCTCCCAGCCTCAGCTCTGGGTGTGAGAATAACTTGCTGCCTCCCGAGTACCCTGGCCAAGCAGGACTCATTAAAGGGATGCTGCATGAGTGAGTGCCCGTGTGTGTCACAGTCGTGACCTTCATGAGAAGGATGGGCTCTCTGTGATAAAGACAACATGGCCCTGACTTGAGGAATGGTCCAGTTCTGGACACTTACCCGGAGCGTTGTTATGGAACACAAATGAAGAAAGGGGTGTATGGCGGCGCCTGGCATGGGACTGGCACAAAGAGGGCAGGAGGGACACAGCTTCCCCTCCCACATCCCTCCCAGAGTGCAGATGTCACCCTTCTGGGCCCCACAGTACCCAGTTCTTGGTGTGCTGGTCTCAGGAAACTGCAAGGTGGCATAGCTAACACCATCTTCCATCACCGGATTGTAGCATCCCAGGGATTGGGGGCCTTCAGAGAGGGGAGGCCTTCTAATCTGGGAGAGAGACAAGGTTGCAGCTCTAAGCTCTCCCCCCACCCAATTCTTCTCCCCTGGCTTGACACCACAGATCTCCCCAGAGTACTTTTTCTTTTTTAAAATTTTCCAGATGGGGGAACCAGCAGTTAGCATAATGGCTATGTTGCTGGACTCCCACGTAGTTGACCGCGGTTTGCATCCCGGACCCAGTGGCTTAAACTCACGCCGGGCGTGTGTGCGTGCGTGCCCAAGATCCCGAGAGGAGGATGGAGGAGAAGGGATTACGGCATGACCATCCCCCGTGGGGGGTGATTTCTCACTTTCTGTCTCTATCGCTCTTTCTGTCTAGCGAGTGCACGCGCCCTATAGCGAAAACCTCTCCAAAAAAAAAAAATTTCCAAATGGCACATGCACTGACAGGGGAAGAGAGAAAGAGAGAGAGAGAGAGAAACATCTCTCATGGGGCATGGTCACACCACAATCCCTCCTCCTCCATCTCTCCTTCATTTAGGCAAAATGCACACCCACCCGGCATGTTTTTCAGGCTGCTGGGTCCAGGACGTGAACATGTGGTTGGCCACCTGGGATCCAGCTGCCTTAACCACCATGGGCTGACCCCTGGAAGACTTATCACCCTCTGTCACCTGGTTTCTTTTCTTTAACGCTTTATCCTGTGCTCCGTATTCCTTGAATCTTACCTTTTTATTCCTCACAAAGAAGCTCTGACCACTGGAATTTTCCTGAAGCCCCTGCTGACTCCGAATCCTCTTCCAGCTAAGAAATGAAAGCATGCTCAGTGAGGGTCTGGGAAGGGAGTGGGCACAGGTTCTGCCGGGGGAGGCTTTGGGACTAAGGAGCCAGAGGGAGGCCGAAGGAGGTGGGCAGCAGCGGGAGCTCACCTTCTCCGAATCTTAAACCCCCAGATCGTCAGAAGGAGGATGGCCAGGCAGATCCCGATCGCCACAGCCGCTCGCCTGCCGATGGTCTCCGGGCTATCTGATGGGGAAAGCAGTGGCCTCATCAGGTATGGCCAGCCCTGGCCTGTGGCATTCATCTTGACTTCTCTCTGCCTCCAGCCCCATTCTTTGCCTGTGCGTCTTCTCCTCCACATGTCGTGGGGAAGCCAGCCCTTGCCCTCCGAATCTCCCGTTAGGAGGAGCGCCTGTGTGCGACAGAGCCGGCAGCCCCCACCCTCATGCTCGTGAGGGAGCACAACCTCATCAGAGAGCAGTGTGGCCATCCTTCCAGAACTTGACATGCACCTGTCCTTGACCCAGCACAGGAGTTCTCCCCGCAAGTGTCCCTGCGAGTGTGCCCAGAGCGAGCACTGCACCTCGGCCTTGCAGGAGGGCTCTGGGTGGATGGGATATGCAGCGTTCACACGCCATGCAGCCCTTTAGAGAAAGGCAGGCTGGGCCAGCTCGTAGCCTGCTGGTGAAAGGAGGCCGAGGCCCACATGGCTGCCGCCTGGGTGGAGAGATGGAGGAGCAGGGATCGTGGTCGTGCCCAGCTAAGAGGTGTTTTCTCTCTTTCCTTCTCTCTGTCTCTCTCTGGTGACCACAAGTGTCCTTTGGCAACTTAAAAAGAGAGAGAGAGAGAGAGAAGGAAGAAAAAGAAAAAAAGGAAAAGAGGCAGGTGGCAGGGTGCCTGAAAAGTGGAGACCCAGCAAACCGTGTTTCTACACAGCATGTCAGTTACATTTCCAGATAACGTGTTAGTTTGTTTTCTTTTCTCTTCTGTCATTACAGGAAACGGTTCTCTATAAATAAATAAATATCCCCCTGCATTTCCAGATACAGCACAAACTCTAAGGGGTGTTATTCCATGGGAAAAAAGAAGGACAGGAAAGCAGTCCTGGGTGCCGGGCGCGTCCTACCACTTGAGTAATGAAGCAGAGGGTACAGACGCGGGCCTATCAATGTACACGTCACGCCGCTTAACGACAGGGTGTGTTCTGAGATACGGGATGCAGGACGACTTCGTCACGTGTGAACGTCATCCGGGGACCTGACACGAGCCCAGCTGGGGTATCTGACTGCACACTGAGGCCACATGGTGGGGCCTATTATAACCTTATGGCCCGCCCACCCCCACCCCCACCCCGTCGTCGTCTATCTGGTCTACCATAGACCCTATGTACACTAGCATGTGTGCTATCTCAGGAAGGAGATGTAAGTGGGGGACTAGCGTTCTCAAGGACAGACCTGAGAGGTGTCTGTCTGTCCACTAGTTACCCTTTTTAAACAGTTTATGGTAGAGCACGTGAGAGAGAGGGGAGAAGGGGAAGGGAGAAGCACCCTCTCCAGGGTGGGTCATGCCTCAGTCCCCTTGCTGCAGTCTACCAGCCCATCGCGTCTTGGACATGGGAGCATGGACCTGGCGTGTTTCAGGCCAGCTGGGCCAGGGATTCAGACCAGGGTTGCCTGTGGGATCAGCTTCCCTGGAGCAGTGCATTATCGCTGCACCAAGGAGCCAGCCCACTCCTTCGTGCGTTTTCATTGTTTTTTTTTGTTTTTTTGGAGGGGTTTTTGCTATAGGGCATGTGCACTCGCCAGAAAGACAGAAAGAGAGAGACAGAAAGTGAGAAATCACTCCCTCAGGGGCGATGGCCACGCCACAATCTCTTGTCCTCCATTCTCCTCTTGGGATCTTGCACATGCGCCCGGCATGAGTTTAAGCCACCGGATCCAGGACTCAAACCGTGGTCAACTACATGGGAATCCAGCAGCAGAGCCATTACTCTAACTAATGGTCCCATTTTTTGTAAACCATATACATGTATTATCATTTTAAGAACCACCAGAATCTCAAAAGTTCAAAACAAGGAGCCTTTCAAAGGTGATTCAGAGAGAGACAGAGACAGAGAAGGGGGCCGAGCAGGAGCTCTGGATGTCTGGAAGGTGGGGGCAACCTGGGAGAGAATCCTGGAGCATCACCAGTGACAAGGGACAAGGCGATGCCACAGCACAGTGGCAGGGGAGCTGTGGAGCTCCAGGAGTCTCTCCCCACTAGGCCCCTCTCTCTGTCTCTCTGCCTGTGTGTGTCTCTCTCTCTGAATCACCTTTGATAGGGTCCTTGTTTTGATCTCTTGGTGGTTCTTGAAAAGATAATACAAGTGTATTGTGACAAGCTGGGGAGGGAGGAGGCGGGAGATGGACCAGGGGGCCTGGAAGGCGTGGGCCGGGGGAAGGGCAGAGAGGAGCATGAGAGGGCAAGGGGTCTTACAGTAGACAGTGAGGGTGCTAGGGGGTGACTCGCCCATGCCCAGCCGGTTGGCCCCCTGGCACCGGTAGACACCCGAGTCCTGGACCTTTGCAGGCTCCAGTCTCAGCGTCTGGCCAGCATGGTGGAGGTTTTGGTTGTTCCAGTCAAACCAGGTGAACTGGGAGGCAGGAGGATTGGCGTCACTCTCGCACGTCAAGGCTGCCTTCCTGCCCTCCATCACGCTGTCTCCCGGGGCAATGGACACCCGCAGCCTCCGAGGAGGATCTGTAAAGGAGAGAGAAGTCAGAACACGGGTGGCCAGTCCCGCCTCTTCTGTGTTCTCAGCTTCGGGCTCTGGCCACTCACACAGCACTTGGAGAATTGAGGCCTTGGACGTGGTCTCTCCTATGGAGTTGTCGACTGTACAGCTGTAATTTCCGGCATCTTCTGGAGTGATGGAGTCAAAGATCAGCTCACTTCCTTCCTTCAGAAAGCTTCCATTTTTCTTCCAGACATAGCGGATCACTGGGGGGTGGCTGGTTGAGAACTTGCATTGGAGTTGAACCCGGTGCCGGGAGTGAATCTCGGAGTGGGTGCCGATCACCAGGACCCTCACGTCTCTGGGGGCATCTGGAGGACAAGGACCTCAGGCTCACTTCTGGGTTCCCTGTCCTGCTGGCTGTCCCCATGGCTCTGGGCCTGGCTCTGATCCCTCGATTCTCTGTCGCAGTCTCTGGTCCAGGCTCAGTGTCCTTACCCTCCAGCTGGGCCACCCCCCAACCCCTCTCCCTGATCACTCACACTGGACATTCAGGTGGGTGGGAAGGGCCCAGGAGCACCACTGGTTACAAGCTGCACAGTAGATCGACGTGGTGTCCCAAGCAACTTTCTGAATCAACAGCACCCCAGGTGATGGCTCAATCCACGGGCCTTTGGGGACCCACTCATATCGGGTAACTTGAGGGTTACTGGAGTTGTAGTTACAGAACAGGGTCACACGGTCTCCTTCTCGAATTGGTAAAGGGCTTCGAATAACCGTGGTCACCTCTTTTGGGGGATCTGGGAACAAACCAGAGACGTGCGTGAAGAGGGTCTGTCATAACCTTCCCTTCTTGCTTCCTTTCCCTCCCTCCCAGCTCCCTGCATTCTCACAGTTCCTAAATGGACAAAGGAAGGTTTCTGCCTCCCTCTTGTACCACGGATCTTCAAAAAGTTAAGGAAGGCCAGCTGGTGGCATCGCTGTTAAGGCGGCTGGATTCTACATGCCCTGTTGTGCCGTTCAAGTCCCAGACTCTGTGGTTTGAAAAATATGCCTGACATGTGTGCGTGCGTGCCCAAAATCTCAAAAGGAGAATGGAGGAGAAAGGATTTCCGTGTGACCATAGTCCCTGGTGGGGGAGTGGTTTCTCACACCCCTCCCACCCTCGTCTCTCTTCAGTGAGCACATGTACTCTCTAGGAAATTAAAAAAAAAAAAGAGAAAGAAAGAAAAGAAAAGCTCATGGATAGTGCATATTATGAAAAAGCTATACGTGAATTTCAATTTTTTTTTAATTGCTGAAGGGCATATGTACTCATCAGAAAGAGGAAGTAGACCGTGCCTTTTGCTCTGTTTCTTCATCCCGTCATCCTGTCAGGATTTTGGGCATGCACACTCATGGGCCTGGTATAGTTTTCAAACCTCTGGGTCAGGATTCGAACTGTGGTCAGCCAAGTGGGATCCAGCTCCCTACACAGTCTTTAACCACTGAGCTAAGGAGCCAGCCCACACATTTTTTTTCTTTTTTGCACTAAATAAACTACTTTAACTCCATTTACACGAATTTTTTGAAGTCCCATCATATCTGTATGAGGAGATAAACCCTGCCCGGGCCTTTGGGCCTGTCTGTGGTTTGACACAGGATGGTACAGTGGCTTTTCAGCCACTAGAGCATCTAGAAGCAGGGGAAAGTGGGGAGATGAGGAGAGTCCTCCAACCTGTGTAAGCAGCTAAGGGAACCCCAGTTCTGGAGCCATATTGCCCACTCTGTGACTGTGGCTGCAGGCCTCAGTTCACTCCTCTGTCAAATGGGGTCGTGAGAGTACCTAACCTTGTGCAATTTCTCCAAGGGTGAAGTGAGATGATGCTTTTAGAGCAGAGTGCGGTGTGTGGTAGACAGTAAACATGGCTGCCTCTGCTGCTTCTGTCCACCCCGCTGTCTAGGTGTTTAGGATTTGGGCCTCCCGACCCGCATGTGGGTCAAGCCTTATGGGTTTTCTTTGTCCTGCACTCAACTTGATGACAAGATTCACTGTGATAAATAGTATCTAGGGCCAGCAGGTGGTGTAGTGGTGAAGGCACTGGACTCCCACATGGCTGACCTTCGTTCAAGTCCCAGATCTGGTGGCTAAACTCATGACGGATGTGCAAGCATGTATGCCTAAAATCCCAGGAGGAGAATGGAGGAGAATGGATTGCGGGGTGGCCATTCTCCCAGCCCCCACACTTTCCTTCTCACTATCTCTCTGGTGAGCACATGTGCTGTACGGCAAAAACCTGAAGTAAATAAACAAATAAAGAGGGTGTAACAATGGAGAGGGAAGGAGACATTTTTGCCCCACTTTTTTCTGAAATCCTCAGGACCTCTTCTGGGGTTCAGCTATGGCCCCACAATGACGTCTCTGTGACCCTTACGGAGCCCTGCTATCTTGCAGTCATTCATTCAACAAACATCTACTGAGCACCTACCATGAGCCAGGCCCTGTAGCAGGCGCTAGGCCTACACAACACCCCTGGCCTAAGAAGCTTGTCAGGAGACCCTGGCTTCTGCTTACTCTGTATCTGAGGACCCAGGGATTCCCCTGTGCTCCATCTGCCTTCCTCCTTCCCCACTTCCGTCTTCTCTCCTCAAACCAGAGGCCTACTCACATTGCACATCCAGCTCAGTTTCCGGGCCCATCTGTCCAATCCCAAGCCTGTTTTCTGCCACACAGGAGTAAGTCCCAGCGTGCTGGAGGGAAACCTGTGGGATGTAGAATTTCTCTTCTGTCTTTCCTAGCAGCTCTTTCCCATCATGATACCAGGTGTAATTTGTTGGGTGAGGATTGGCTGGTGATTGACAAATCATCTCTACTGTAGCTCCCTCCTTAGCTGGTGACTGGTGGATCAGAACGCTGGAAGGTTCTGGAGCATCTAGAAGAAGGGGCAAGTGGGGAGATGAGAGTCCTCCAACCTGTGCAAGCAGCTATGGGAACCCCACTGCTCGGCTCTCAAGAGCCTGGATTCCACCCCCATTCCCAGTGCCCTGCCTGCCCCTCCCCAGCTCGGAAGAGGCTCACATTGTACTTGGAGGGTCACTTCTTTCGAGTTGCCTCTGCCCACAGTGTTGGAAGCCCGACAGAGGTACTTCCCGCTCATCTCCTTGGACGTTTGGGGCAGAGTTAACGTGAGCGTCTTCGATGCACTCAGCTGCATCCCATCCTTGAACCAGGATATAGACTTGTACTGTGGGTTGCTGCTGACAATCCGGCACGTCATGGTCACCGACTCCCCCTCTATTACAGTGGCATCACTGGGACTGACCTCAATCTCCACCTGTGGGACGTCTGCAGGAGCAGAAGGGCAGTGGGGAAGAGGGCAGGGAGCCCTTAGGGTGGAAGGTGGTGAGAAGGGGCGGTGTTTCTATTCTGACAAAGCAGCAGTCTACACAGCCTTGTTCCCCTCTCTATTCCCCTGCCCTCGGGTAACAGCCAGCAGGGTTTCTAATACCGGCAGCCACACAGCCTTGTTCCCCTCTCTATTCCCCTGCTCTCAGGTAACAGTCAGCAGGGTTTCAAATACCGGCAGCGAGACCGTGAAACTCCTTGCTTAACACCACTCAGTGGATTCCACTATTCAAAATCAAATCTGGAACGCTTATGGCAGCCCATAAGATCTAGTTGCTGCTTGCTATGGTTTGGATAATGGCTTGTTCCCCAAAGGTTCACATTCTGGAGGCTTAATCTTCTGCGTAGTGCCTTTGGGAGGCGGTAAGACCTTTAAGAGGTGGGACCTAATGGGAGGTCACCATCCAATCAGCTGGGGCCTGGGAGGGACACTTGCCTCTGGAAGCCGTGCTCTGATGTAGCACTGAAATCAACCTGGTGTCCTTGAACTTTCCAGCCACCAGACTCAGGAGCCAAATAAAGCTCTGTCCTTTATACATTACCCAGTCTCGGTATTTCTATTTAGCAACAGAATAACAGACTGAGACAGCTCTCCTTCTCCTAGTCCCTGTCCTACCATTTGGCCTCTGAGGCAGTGAGTTTCAGCCTCTCCAGCCTTCCTCTTCCGTGGTTCACCGCATCCACACCTCGAAACCCTGTACTTGCTCCTTCCTCTCCCTGGCATCCTCTTTTCATAAATATTTGCCTGCCTTAGTCTTGCCCTTCATTCAAGGCAGCTTAAGTGTTCACCTTCCTCAGTGAGGTCTCCACCCATCACTCCCCCTATTCTAACCTGGCTTTAATTTGTTATTAATGTACTTATTCCTACGCACCATCATGGTCTATATGTCCTCCTTAATCTATTGTTCATTTCTTCCCTGCAATGCTAGCGCCAGGTGGACAAGAACTTTGCTCACTGCTGTACAGGAGATCTTCAAAGAGTTCATGGAAAATGCATATTATGAAAAAAAGCTATGCATGGATTTTGATTTTTGTACCAACCTAAATTTACTTTAATGCCATTTTCCACAAACTTTCAGAAGCACTCATGTATTCTCCACCCCACTCCACCCCTAGCCAGCAGCCATAATAAGGCTGATATCTAGTAGGTCTGCAATAAATATTTATTGAATGAATGAATGAATGAGGCATAATGTAATGAGGTGAAAAATTTCCCCTTTAAGGGGAAACCAAATGTAGCCAGATAATCCCCGAATCATGGCTTGGGGATAGATGATTTTACTTTGTCAGGGCAAAGTGGAGGCTGAAATGCATCTACCAGCTGAATGCCAGGGCTGTCAAGAGGAAGTGGGTGCCCACTGAGGGGTTGGGGGGAAGGTGACAAGCTTCACCCCCTTTTCCCAACCCTGGGGGACTATGTCTGATTGTATCATGGGACGTGGAATTCCAGAAGCCCATGGAGTCTTCTCTGGGTCTGCCACGCCTTGTCCTTCCCATAGGAGGACCGGGAAACTCACACTTCACTTCCAGGCGCACCGTCTGCTCAGAGAGCACCTGCCCCTCGGTACCAGTCACAAGCTGGCAGGTCACATTCTTCCCATGGTGAGTCCACTGAGGCCGAAAAGTGAGCTTGCTCTGGGTGACGACTGTTTCGGGGGAGAGGGTGGTCGAGGTGATAGCGGGCTCCTCCAGGGACCACTGCAATTTGATGGGGTACCCGAAGCAGGCGAAACTCAGCGAACAGGTCAGAGTGACTTCTTGTGATGCCTCAATTTCTGGAGGAAGCTGGATGCGCGGTACAAGAGGCGTTGCTGCAAAGAAGTGGGCACCATGCTGGAGGCCTGGGAGGCCGAGGACTGGTGCAGCACTAGCTTCCCGTCCCGGCGTTAGAGGGCCTGTCCCACATAACCCCCCAGGAATCCCACCCCTCGCCAGTCCTGCCTTCCCCTACTTAAATCACATGTGCTCAGAAATACTCTCTGACAGTCCTGGGAACAATGAGTCTCCCTGAGATTATATTTTATGTTTCCTTCTAACTTCTTGCTCTTTGCTTTCTAAGTATTTTCACAATTATGCTTCCCGCTACCTCTGTGTGAACCTTTTTTTTTTTTTTTTGAGAGAGAGAGATGTTGGCTATAGGGCACGTGTGTCTACCAGAGAGACAGAAAGCTACATCAATCAATCGATTAATCACCCCACAATTCTCCATTCTCCTGTTGGGATTGTGAGCATGCATGCACACATGCCAGGCATGAGTTTCAAGCCGCTGGGTCCAGGACTCGAGCCACAATTGGCCAAGGGGAGTCCAGTGACTTAACCACTATGCCACCTGCTGGCCCCCTCTAAGTGAATCTTACCAATTTAGTTCAACAGGTATTCCTTAGCTTTGATGACAAACGTGTATTTGTTTAATGGCATTAAGATTGGAGACAGCCCAGCACAGCATTCCTTTAGAGGGGTGGGCCTCTGTCCAGCCAGACTCAGCTTTTCCCCAGGCTGGACCACCTTCAGGCCCTGCAAGGTCTGAGGCTGCATCTCTCACACCAAACACAGGGCTGCTTAGAGCGGCCCACCCAAGAAACAGGCTGTGGACCTGCCTGATGGGTCATAACCACCCCTTTACATACACACCATCTAGCCTTAAAGGGTTAATTAGGATCAGTCACCAACCTTGATGCATTGGTAGTTTTCACTAGAAAAACCAGATATCTGTCTTTTGAAAAGTCAGAAGATCTGGCAAGCTGCAGCCCACAGTCCAGAATGGGCAGGAGCTGAGGGGCAGCTGGGATGAGTGCAGGGCCTATAAGCTGTCACCACTGGCAGCCCCTGCCTGATCGCTGTGGGCAATTCGGTGTGTGGCCCTGCCTGGGAATTGGGTGTTTCCCACCTCCCCTCCTGACCCCATCCCCAGGCCTTACCAGAGACATTGAGGTTTATTTCCTCCATCCATTTGTCGGTCTTTGATGTCACCCTCAGCCCCAGATGACCACTGTCGTTGGCGTGCACCGGGGAGAGGCTCAGGGTGCAGTTGTTTTGTAAATCTCCCAGGAATTGTACCCTTCCCTGCTGAGAAGGGAGCCCCCCGGCCTTTGTGTGATTATAGAGGACGGTTCCTTTGAAGTTCTTGGTGGTTGGGTCATACTCGGGATTCTGGTACACGACAAGGTTTTCCAGATGCTCCCTGGGCTTTGGGTTGGTGTAGCCACAAGGAATCCAGATGCAGGCTCCCTCCCAGGCATAGAGGGTCTTGGGGTGCTTAAAATTCCAAGTAGCCGACTCGGAGAAAGCCGGGAATTCTGAAACTTATCACAGTGGCAGAAAGCGTGATTAGGGGGCATGCAGCGCTTTCAGAGAACTGGAGAGTCCCCTTCGAGGACAGAGGAGAAATGGGAGGTTTACAGAGAGAGAGTGGGCCGTGCACACACACACTGCCTGCCCGCACCCGACCCCACCTTTAGTCTTCCCCGCCCCAGGCATGAACTCCCAGAACCTGAGTGCTGGCCTGGGCCACAGTCCTTACCCAGGAGCAGGAACCAGAGGCCGAGGAGATGCATGCTGTCGTGTTTGGGTCAGAGCCTGAGATGGGGAGAGTTTGCTTTGAGCCATCTGGTCATTTACTTCTGCCAGATGGCTTTTCTTGCTCACCCACTGAGCTCGAACCCCTATTATAGATCCTCGGGGACCATGTCTGGTTGCATCATGGGATGTGGAATTCCAAGTGTCCATGGAGTCTCTTCCGTGTATGCCAGGCCTTTCCTTTGGCCTGGGAACCCTTTAAGGGCAGCGTCACCCTCTTCCCAGAACTCTCTCCTCCCCCTTTCCTTCTCTCCCTCTTTACTCCTTCCCTCCCTCCCTCCCTCCATCCTTCCTTCCTTCATTTGGTCCTTCTTCTTCCATTCTTTCCTGTTCCTTATCCATTCATTCATTTATATTTTTATAAACTTCCTGCTCAGCCCTCAGGCTGTGAGTGGCACCAGACCACTGGGTAATGCAAATGCCAGGCACTAGGTAAGTTGGAGTTCTCCTTGGGCTGCTAATAAAGGATTTTACATAGGGGAGAGACATGACCAAACCTTGATTTAAAGATCAGGAAAATAATAATTCCTAAACCAATAGTAAAATATGATGCTAGGACAGCATTTAAAGGGGTCCTAATGGGTCCCACTCAGATGCCTCTAGGGGCCAGGTAGAAAACAAATCAACCAAGTAGAAACAAAAGCCCAGCCTCACCTGCAGTTGGGGGCTGGCTTAGTTCCAGGCAGTCGTTACAACAGGGAAGGTGGCCTCAGCCCTCTCTGATCTTCCACTGTTCTAAGAGAAGTGAGTAGCCATATTTTCATGTGAAATATCCTGCTTAAAAAGAAAAAATGTGGGGACCAGCAGTTAGCATAATGGCTATGTCGCTGGACTACCACGTAGTCGACCACGGTTCGAGTCCCGGACCCGGTGGCTTAAACTCACGCCGGGCGCGTGTGCATGCATGCCCAAGATCCTGAGAGGAGAATGGAGGAGAAGGGATTGCGGCATGGCCATACCCCCTGGAGGGTGATTTCTCACTTTCTATCTCTCTTTCTCTCTCTGTCTGTCTGGCAAGTGCACACGCCCTATAGCAAAAACCTCTCCAAAAAAAAAAAAAATGCACAGTGCTGTTCACACAAAGCCTAGCTGTGGGCTCAAGGCAGGCCAAGGGTCGTCAACCTGCAAACACTGCTCATCTCTTTCTCTAAGCAATGAGTGTCCTCTTTACCACCCAGGACTTACGCAAGGAGTTACATTTACATAGAGTTAATTTAAGTCCCAATTTACATGATTTTGCTCTGGTGTTGGCCCCGGGGGAACTGAAAGGATGTATCGCAGAGTGTGTCTCCGGTCTCAGCACAGATCCCAGCCCTGCCACCCACTCCGCCAACATTGCTCATGCATCAGTGGCGCCCTCTCTGGGTATTTATCTCCTCGGCCCGCATGGCTCAAAGCTGAGGGCTGGTGGGTGTCCAATACTTTGCATGGGGGAAGCTAAGCTGCTTGCCCAATGCAGGAATGGGGTGCTGTCCCCAGGCATAGGGTCTGGCCTGGTCTGAGCAGGGACTAGGGGAGAGAGATCTGAAGCTGGGGGAGCTTCTCCAGGCAGAGCTGACATCAGGCCTGCAGCTGCCAGTAATGTTACCTACACAAAAAATGTTCAAGATCCTGACCACTTGAGAAAACTGAAAAAGTTCAGTAAGATTCTTTACTGCGGGAAAGCCTTTCAATAAGTTATATAGGCGTCGTAAATCTCTAACATGGGGCTAGAGTATTGTCCATTGTCCATATTTCTTTGGCCATGGGATCTACTTTACATTTTCTACAGAAAACTTGGTGGGGTTGCAGGGTAAGTGTTTTTTTGTTTGTTCTTTTTTTTGGGGGGTGGGTGGGTGGAGGTTTTTGCTATAGGGTGCATGCGTTCGCCAGAAAGACAGAGACAGACAGAGAGACAGAAAGCAAGAAATCTCCCCCGAGGGGGAATGACTATACCACAATCCCTTCTCCTCCATTCTCCTCGTGGGATCTTGGGCACGCATGCACACGTGCCCGGCGTGAGTTTTAGCAACCTAGCCATTATGCTAACTGCTGGTCCCGCAGGATCAGTGTTCTGGAGGATACACTTTGAGATCCCCTCAGCATTTCACAAGGACTCGATTCCACGGTCTGAGGCCGACTGACACTATCGGGCTGAACTGTTGTACCCCATCTGCCAGGATCTGCCTGCCACCCCCTCACCAGGGCCAAGAGCGAGAGGGACACTTACAGAGCAGGACTGTATGCTTGCCCCAAGGAGCCCCAGGCAGTCTTTGGAGCAGAAGAAGTGGGTTCCCAGACCTGGGCATTGGGGTGCTGAGGAGGCAGGATGGGGCATGGAGGCTAGGGACAACGATCACTAGGCACGAAGGCTCAGGAAGGCCATGCCATGCAGAACTATGACGGCGCCATACTGGCCTCTTGAGAACTTTGTAGGACCTCAGAACCAGCCTCCCTGACTCACTCTTCACATCTGTGACCCAGTGACCTGACCTACTCTCAGAAGACCCACCAATGGTAGTAACATAGGCAAGAGAGAGAAGTGGAGGTCCCCACGGGGTTCTCGTCCCTGGAATGGTGTCTGGCACAAGGGGGCTGCTCCCTACTCACTGTTGAATGCAAAAAAGAATAAAATGGTTTTTACCTGATTTCTGGTGTCTTCCCTCTTCAGGACCCTGGCAGCATCTGAGAGTGAAAGGGGAAGTCCAGTGAGGTAGGTCTCCACTAACTGATTTTCACTGTCCTTGGCCACACCTCCTGCCTCTCTGTGACTCTGAGGGTCACCAAGGGGCATCATGATTTAGGAAGTGGAGAAAAAGAGAACGGAGGAGACAGGGCTGGAATCAGATCGGAGGACGCACTTGAATGTCCACGATCAGGTCTTCATTTCGGTATATGGATTGTCTCTATCAGGGCAGCTTCAGGTCTGGCTTCTCCCCAACTCCCCCCCCTACCCTGCTCGCAGGAAATACTTATGACTCAAGCAGAGCGGATAAGACCTACAAGCCTGCTGAAGAAGGTACAGGGCAACTTGAAAATAGTTTCAGTTTAGTGACACCATTCGCTTATTCTTATTCCCACTTCTTTCCATCGCAGGCATGAGTGGCGGGGAGTCAGGCTGCTTAGACCATGCTTAGGCAGCCCCCGGGAGTGGAGGGAATAGCACAAGAATATCAGGAAGGAAAAAGCTATCTGGCACAAGTGTTATCAGATGAAAATGTCTTGAGACTGAAACTGCATCACTTTATCAGGCTTCTAGCTAGTGAGTGTCTTAGGGGGAGGACCAGACAGCAGTCAAAACCGGGCAAACCCTCCGGATGATAAGAGATACTTCTGAGATATCCGCGCTCTGATACCATTCCACTCTAACAGCTGCTGAACACTGGGGCAGAAACAGAAACGGGGAGAATGACTTCTTGCAGTGCTGTTCTGGGCAGTGTAAATAGATATTTTTTTTTTCTTGTTTCTTAGCAGCTAAGTCCAACTAAAAACCTCAAGTATTATAAAAACAAGCCTAAGAAGACTCTGAAAGGTGAAGAGAAGGTGGAGAGTAGGGATCCTGGGACCCTAGGGCCAGCAGGTGGTGTGGAGGTTGATGTGCTGGACCCCACGTGGCCATCTTTGTAGTTTGAGTCCTGGACCTGGTGGCTTGCAAATCACACCAGGTGCACGTGCATGTATGCGTGTATGCGTGCCCAACATCCTGAGAAGAGACTGGAGAAGGGATTGCGATGTGGCTGCCCTCCCTGGGCAGTGATTTCTTTCCCCCTCTCTCTCTGTTTCTCTTTCTGGCAAGTGAGTGCACCTTATAGCAAAATTTAAAATAAAACAAAAAAAAGTCCTGGGACCCAAGGAGTGATATGGTGGTGAATTCTCTGGATTTTCTTTTATATATCCCAACCTGGGTGTTGAAGAAGCTGACAGCGGGAAATCTAATGGACACAGACCCAATAAAAATCCTACCGAGCTCTACTTTTCTAGCCAAAGAACCAGGAAACGGGCATTTTAGAAAAACAGAACATTTGGTTGATAATGGTTCTACATCAGCCACATACCATAGAAAAAAACCTACAGCTACAGCTCCATCCTTACTCCTGTCAGCAAAGGCTGAGAGGGAAGTTTAGACATTCACCTTCATGAGGGTGCCACAAAGAACCTAGGTCACCCCCATACAGTTGGAGTGATGCCTGAGAAGGTCTGGTCCCTGGAGCTGGGACCCTCATCCCCACTGTGATCACCCTCCCCACAGTGTCAGTGGAGACCACGTGGGCATCTGGACATCCACCACCTCCTTAATGCAGAAATGAAGTATTCTTTCCTCTCCCTGCTGGAGTGGTATCAAAGGGGGCCCAATAGAAGGTCAGGACTTTTACCACCACTCAGTGGTAACAAGCCCCCCACCCCACCATCACCACAGTGTCAGTGGAAGCCACCTGGAGGGCAGTGATAAGTTACCCCTATTTCTCTCAGAGTAGTAAGATTATATACCTAGTCTCTCTCTGTCTTTATATATATATATATGTATATATATATATACATATATATATATACATATATATATATAAATTTATATACACACACGCACGTGTGTGTGTGTGTATCTGCAGGATCTAAGAAGGAGCCTTCCTGACTCCGTTATTCCCACCTGTGACCCAGTGACCCAGCCTACTCTCAGAAAACCCACCAAGTCCAGCATGGTGGATGCTCAAATACAGGGTCTGTCTGCAACCCATTGTAACACAGGCAAGAGAGAGAAAGGGAGGTCCTCGCTGGGTTCCCAGTCCTGGAACTGTGCTCAGCACATAGGGGCTGCTACATACTTGCTTGTTGAATACAAAAATAAAATAACAAAATGGTTGTTTTTTAACCTGATTTCTGGTGTCTTCCCTCTTCAGGGACCCTGGTAGTATCAGAGAATGATATTTATCTACCTGCAGGTTCAAGAAGTTCAGTGAACCCCGGACCAGCAGTCAGCGTATAATGGCTATGGTGCTGGACTCCCACGTAGCCGACCGCAGTTTGAGTCCCGGACCTGGTGGCTTAAACTCATGCCGGGCGCGTGTGCGTGCGTGCCCAAGATCCCAAGAGAAGAATGGAAGAGAAGGGATTGTGGCATGGCCATCCTGATTTCTCGCTTTCTGTCTCTCTTGTCTCTGTCTATCTGGCGAGCACACGCGCCCTATAGCAAAAACCAAAAAAAAAAAAAAGAAACTGAATGAACTCAAACAGGATAAACCCAAGGAAATGCATGCCATAGTCAAAATTACTAAAATCTAAGACAAAGTCAAAATCTCTAAAGCAACCACAGAGAAATAATAGACTACCTATAAGGGTGAAAACCATTAAAACAGCAGTGGATTTCTCATTAAAAGCAAAGCAAAACAAACAAAAAACATGGGAGCCGTAAGGAGGTGATGCAATATTGTCAGGTGCTGAAAGAAAAACACTGTCAATCTAGAATCCTATATCTAGTGAAAATATCCTTCAGGAGTCAAGGAAAAATCAAAGCATTCTAAGAGAATTTTTGTCTAACAGAGGCCTATCCTGAAAGAACACCTAAAGGGAATCCTCTAAACAAAAAGGTGGGGGTTTTTGTTTTTCTTTTTTTTTTTTCATAGGGTTCATGTGCTTGCCAGAGAGAGACAGAGAGACAGTAAGAAGGACAGTGATAAATCACCCCCTGGGGGGATGACCATGCCACAATCCCTTCTCCTCCATTTTCCTCTTGGGGTTTTGGGCATGCATACACAGGCACCTGGCATGATTTTCAAGCCATTGAGTCTGGGACTCAAACCACTGCTAGTCGTATCAGAGTCCAGTGACTTAACCACTACACCACCTGCTGGTCTTGAGGAAAAAAATTTTTAAAGGAAACTTAGAACATCAGGAAAGAAAAAAGAACACAGAAAGAACAAATCTATGAGTAAATGCAATATACTTTCCTTCTCTTCTGAAGTTTTCTATTATGTTTGACAATAAAAACAAGAACCATAATACTGTCTAATTATGTTCCTAATGTCCATAAAGGAAATATTTAAGGTAATTATAAATAGGATAGGATAAAGGGACATAAAGAGAGGTAAGATTTCTTCATTTCATTTGAACTGGTAAAAATGTTAAAACCAGTAGATTTTGATAAATCATGTATAATGTACTATCTAGAACAACCAGTAAAAAAGCTACACAAGGTGATACACTCAAAAGCATTTTTAAAAGAATTATTTAATTTAATTGTATTTATTGATTTTAATTTGACCAGAAAGGGACACACACAGAGAGAGAGAGAGAGAGAGAGAGAGAGAGAGAGAAGCAAGAAAGCAAGCTGCCAGGTTTGGGAGTGGAACTGCAGTTGTCCATGTGGAAGTCCAGTGCCCTTAACCATCATGCCACCTGCTCACCCCAAAAGCATTTTAGATAAGTACTGGTGGAATTCTGAAAAGCTGTTCAAGAAACCAACAGGGAGGTAGGAAAAAAGAAAATGGAAATGAAAAACTGAAAAATAAAATGGGAAACTTACCATATAAATAATTATATTAAATATAAATGGCCCAAATACACAAATTAAAAGTCAGAGATTGACAGAGTGGATAAAAGAATGACCCAACTATATACTGTCTATAAGAAAGTAAATTCGGGAACCAGCAGTTAGCGTAATGGCTATGTCGCTGGACTCCCACGTAGTCGACCGCGGTTCATGTCCCGGACCCGGTGGCTTAAAACTCACGCCAGGCGCATGTGCGTGAGTGCCCAAGATCCCGAGAGGAGAATGGAGGAGAAGGGATTGCGGCGTGACCATCCCCCCAGGGATGGTCTCTATGTCTCTCTCTGTCTGTCTGGCGAGCGCACGCGCCCTACAGTGAAAATCTCTCCAAAAAAAAAAAAGAAAGAAAGTAAATTCAAATATAATGATATAGGTAAGTTGCAAATAAAATACCTGGAAAGTATATACCATGCAAAAATTAGTCAAAAGAAAGTAGCATATATTAATAACAGATTAAGACAAATTAACAATTGGAGTTGGAAACTTCAGCATCCCTCACTAAACAATTGATAGGAAAAAAAAAAACAGGCATAAAATCAGTAAGGATGTATAATAACTCAACACTGTCACCCAACAGTATCTAGTTGGCATAGAACCATCTACCCAGCAACAACATAAAACACACACACATTTTTCAAGCACCTATGGAACATGTACCAAGAGAAATAAAATCCAGGGCTATAAAATAAGTTTCAAAAAGTTTGAAATAATTGAAATCATACAGAATATATTCTCTAAGCACAATGGAATCAAACTACATATCAGTTACTGAAATATGACCATAAAATCTCCAGACACTTGGAAACTAAACAACATGCTTCTAAATAATCTATAATTCAAAGAGGAAAACTAAAGGGAAATTAAACAAAACAAAACAAAAAACACTAAACTGAATGAAAATAAAAATTTTAGAACCTATCAAGTTTTGTGGGACACAGTTAAAGCACAACAGGGAAATTTACACACTGAATGTTTACATTAGAAAATATGAAAAGCCTCAAGTCAATAATATAAAATTTCAGGGACTGGCAGTTGGTATAATGGCTATGTTGCTGGACGCTCTGACCGCGATTCGAGTCCCAGACCTGGTAGCTTAAACTCATGCCAGATACGTGTGTGTGCGTGCCCAAGATCCCGAGAGGAGAATGGAGGAGAAGGGATTGCGGCATGGCTATACCCTCTGGGGGGTGATTTCTCACTTTCTGTCTCTCTCTGTCTTTCTGGCTAGTGCACACACCCTATAACAAAAATGTCTCCAAGTAAAT